GAATATAATTAAAGAAATAAGAGTTGATGTTGCTTTTGTAATCATCCATCAATTTCTTAGAATTAAACACTATATACGGATTTGCATCAAAGCGTTTTTTATGATAATGATTTTAATCACTTTCAGATATCATCAATACTCATCTCATCTATGCCTCGCCCACACTGTGCCTCAACTCCACTGTACTAAAGTTTTTTTTTAATTTTATTTATCGTATAAACAACTGACAAATCTTCAGGCAATCCTCATACAATTGAAAAAAACTCAACCATTTTTTACTGAATCGACTGCATTTTTTTAACTCGACTTAGTTTAGTTTAAAACTAATTATCTTAAAAGTAGAGTTAAGTAAATTTATGATTAATTATAAACTATTGTTGGCTGTTAACTTATAACTTTCTTGTGTTTGCTTAAATTGACTAGAGCGTAGGAGTATTAATTAATATGTAATAATTAGCGATAAAGGTTATATTTTTTCATCAGATAATATATTGCTATGATATTCACTTACTTCGAAATTTCATAATTTTTTAATCGATTTCATCGATTCGGTTATCTATTTATTTTTAAATATACTTAATAATGTTTTTTACTATAATGTTAAATAAATACATCTTGTTTGTTATCATCGTACTAGCCACTTTAATACTTATAAATTGTTCGTCAGTCCGAGACGAGAAGGAATAGATCCTACAAAAATGAAAATAATTAAGTGGTTATAATACAATCCGATAGGCTTCGGGACTTAACGCAAGTTATCAATACTCTATAAAATTTATTTTAGTTATCCCGAATACATCAATGATAAATAGATAAACATATTAAATTTTTTATACTAACAGTGTATATTAGTTAAACAATCACTTAGAGATCTCTTCCCTCTAAGAAAAAAAATAAAATCATTTAATTTTTGTTGGATATAATAGTTATATTTAATTCGCCAATAATATTCACATAATCCATGGATCAAAATAAAATTTTCAGTGGTAATATATAAAAAAAACTTTCTTATTTGTAAAATATTTTTTTGAAAATTCTTCCATTTATCAAAGTATTGAGAGTGCATAATCATCTTTAATTTATTTTATTTTTAGTTTTTATAATGTTTCAATAAACCTAACATTTTCAAATCTTCATTAAATTAAAGTCAATGCAATGAACTTTAAAATAAAAAAAAAATTATTTTTTTGGTTTAGTTGGTCATTTGAAATATATTTTTCTATTTAGATTTAAATTTTGACTTTTTTGGAGTGATTTAATAGACTTCCATAATTTAGAATGATAAGCATCTAAAAAAAAATGTATTTATTTATAATAAATAATTTGAACTGTTTATACTATGTTTAAGTTTTAAAACCTTCGTGCCATACTTAAATATAATTATTTGTTGTTATTTTTGGCAATTTTGTAACAATTCCAAAGTGCAATAGGAAATTTGAGTTGAGAACGTGTTTTTCTTCTATTTATTTTACGTTCAAACCAGCTCAAAGTATTCAAGAAAAATGAGATTAATTAAAAAATGGGATTAATTACATAATCCGAAGGATAGTATACTAATGCAGCCAATATTCGTGTATGCTAAGCAAATTTTCAATCTTTCTTAANGTATTTATTTTACGTTCAAACCAGCTCAAAGTATTCAAGAAAAATGAGAAAAACGTTTTCCAAGAAAAATGATGCGTCAATTAGTGCTTTGTAACAGTAAATTTATCGTTTATCATAATAAATGTGTAATAAATAGGGATTAATTACATAATCCGAAGGATAGTATACTAATGCAGCCAATATTCGTGTATGCTAAGCAAATTTTCAATCTTTCTTAATATATTTTTCTGCTAGTTTATTTAAGTTGGCGCTAAATACACCGGGAGAAGTGAAAAAATATTCTTGTACATTTAGATTTTTTTGCATTAATGGATGCTTATTCTAAATTTGTTATTACTAAGTGTGTTGGATTTCAGAACAGCGCTAATAATTCGTATTTCCATTATTACGGTCTTGCTAATGTAAGTAGCCTTTGTAGTACAATCAGATTTTACTTTTGATACTTTTTGTGTACAGCAGAAATTAAAACAAAAACTTATAAATAAACAGGGAAAAAAACCTGATGGCTGGACAGTGTCCAGTGAACACTAATAAATATAAGTATCGATGTTTATTATGAGCATATCAACATTAAATTCTTATCTATCGTATAAAATACTCGTTCTTCCTGTTTATGAATATAATATATTTTAATCTACAATCATAATTTTTGTGACAGTTGTAATTCATTATAAAGATTACTATACGACTTAATGCCAATTCGCAATTTTGTTTAAGATATTTTGTATGGCTCTGTAAAAAATTATTATTATTTCAAAAAGATTTTCATCGCATGAGTTTAAACATTTTTAGCCATTTGGGTGCTGACACAGTTTAACAATTAAAAGTCTGAAATGTATACTACCCTTGATGACAATCATTTTCAAAATTTAATGTTTTTGTTTAATTTATTCAATTTTTATTGGGTTATGATTTTTTCAAGTTGTAAAAATCAGAGCATGAGACACGAATTTTTTGTCACGTTAAAGTCATGAATATATTTTCACAATACACTCATATGTCATGAAATTCTAAATTTCCTAATCTATTACAACAAAACATTTAAATTTTATCAAATTATGACAGTAAAAAAAAAAATAAATACTTTTTATATCGTCTTATTATAAAAAAAATAATACTTATTTATTTGTTGATCTGAAAACAACATTTTTTAATTATCATGAGTTATGTGTCTCCATGTCGTTCACATATATTATGAATATATTAAATTCCTAGCGCAGAACCTATTAATCGATTTAAGAATAAATTAATTAATCGGAATATTTTCAGATGTTTCCGTTTTTAGTTTATAGCTGACGTTTCGAGATCATTTCAGAGTGTAACTGCGATTTGGACCGACGGACCATAGTCCAGGACAATATACTATACTAAAAAAAAAAAAAATGTTTTGTAAACATTATTTTTATATATTTTACTTTATATCTATTCAAATATATTTGTAAATAAATTTAATACTATTTTAGTTAACTCTGGTTATTTCTAATTAATAAATACATTCATTAAACATTAATTCACTAAAAATTTTGTCTAAAATAGTATTTCTTAATAACCTTGCAAAAACTTTTCAAGGAAATCTAGTTAATTTCTCCTAGGTCAATGACACTAAAGTGTATTTATCTCCTAACAAGTTTTAATAAATCAATATTAATGTATGGATGTTCGAATAATAAATCTGATATAATTGACATCATTTTATTATATTAAACAACTCTTTGAATTTTATTACTTGATAGGTATTTTCTTCAGTTTATGAAACACTCGGCACCTGAACGGTCGTATTTAAAATAAATTTGGATATAATTATAATATCAACTAAGTTTAGAAATTTCAAACGCTTTCTGAATGTAAATGAAAATCATTAGTGTAAGGGATATTGAATGAATAACATGTATATAACATCACATGTTAATGAAATTAACATCTACTTTAAATTTAATTTCTCAAAAATCGGGTTAATTTTTTTCATGTAATGATAAAATATAATGTCTATTAGATATATTTAACAATTAATGAAATAGCTATTAATAATTTATTATTTTTTGAAAAGGCTAGCGGCGTTACTTAAATTAAATCTTTGTATTGATCTTGTTTGTGAATCTTTTAGCTTCAATACGAATCTGAGATGGTATTGGATTTGTAATAATGTGCTTTTTTTCTGTCTAAGAAAATTCTTAGCTCTCACTGGACCGATTTTAATGAAGACTATATCAAAAGAACCTAGTTTTAATTTGGTTGAAACTATTGTCACAGAAAATTGGAAAAAAACCCACTCAATTTTAGAAGTTGAGAGTATCTTAAAATAAGGCTCCTTAAAAAATGGTATTTTTCAAATTTGTTTTCTTCATTTTAAAATTGCTATAACTATTTATTTTTTTAAACAAAAACCCTATGTTTAGGAAGGGTTTGAGAGAGACCATCTACGCATATAAATATTTAGTTCAACTCGATTTTTAAAAATGTTACGGAATGTTCGACAATTTCTAATCTATACAAAATTAAAGCTTTTAAAATATATTACAATAATAATATAAAAAAATTATTTAACGATTGTTCTAATATGAAAAATCAGCTGTTAAAGTAAAAAATTCACAATGTTTTCATATAAATTACTTAATTTTAAATTAATCAAATTATTATACAGGCATTTAATACTTGAAATTTTAAGACATAAATATTATGAAATTTAACAGATTCGCATCGATGCGTTTTTTATGTAAGTGATCAGTGCCGTGCTAACTGTTATCGGTGTTCAAAGACAATCATATATTTGACGCCCCTATTTAATATATTTTTAAACAAGCTACATCTTATACAAAAACAATATACACATATTTTTTGGAGTCCTTTAAATGTTTGGCTCCTTAGAGCACTTTTACAAATTCAGCTATGATAAGTTTGTCATAAGTATAAAAATCTAAAAGTACAACTGTTGGCCACGGATCAATTCGATTTTAGGAGAGGCCTTAATCGTTTTTTTATTATTATTAACATCTGTGATGATATTGATAGTTAATATCAATAAAATAATTATGTATTATTAATTATCAATAGTACGTATATATTTCATATGACTTCCTCCTCTGTTCATATTTCCTAATAATGCAAAATTTTTGGTTTAAACAAAACTTTGAAATGAAAAACTTGCACTTAAATAATAAAAAACATGTTATATTTTATAAAAATAATATAAGAAATAAAATGTTGAGACTGTGGAATACAAATTCTATAAAGTTTGTACAAAATTACACTATATTATGCATATAAAAATGTACTATGTATGATAAACACTCAACATCAACTGTAGAGTAGGGGATTTTAATGATTATAATATGCTAATACTCCTTTGAAACTAGTCAGTGGAATTTACGTATAAATACTTATATTTTTTTCGTATATATTTCATAATAATCAACTTAAGAAAAACGTTCATTTTAGTTTAATATTCGCACTTTTAAATAAATAACTTGAAGTCCACTCGTTAATTAATTATGTTCAAAATACAGAATACTATCAAATATACTACTTATATTTTGTTAACGTTGTGTATCAGTAATGTCATTTCTATGAAACTTTGTAAGTACAATAAATAAATGTATACAATGATGTTTATAATACATTATTTTTGATTGAATCTATAGATTTGTAAAATTACAAATTAGTTTTTTTCAATGAAAAATTTTTTGTCTAGCAAATAATTTTCACTGATAAATTTATGATACCCATAAATTAGTGTGTTAAAATAACATGATAATATTATTTAAATTATACAATGTAAAAACTTCAATTATTTTATATATGTACAATATGAAAAAAAATGTCTATTATAATTCATGTTATATTCAATATTTTTTAAATAATTTTCAGCAAAAAATTATAAACGATGTAATTTAAAAAGTCCGTATATTAACGATTGTATTAATAGATCATTAAATCAAAGTTTTCCAGACATAGCAAAAGGTAATTATAAATTAATTATTCTTTAATAATTAAAGTAAGATTTATATCTGACAATTAGTTCAAAAAATTATTTAGGGTTATTTAAGAAGTATTTTATAAAAATACTAAATTACTTACAATATGGTCATGCATGACAAATCACACTAGTTTTGTGTAAAGATAGTATCCAAACTAATCCAACTGATACATTAGACATAACATATTAAATATTTATTCCTCAACACGTTCAATTAAAAATTTCAGAGTAAAGATTTTTAGAGGAGTTTTGTATAAAAAATAAACCAATAAAAAATTCGGCTCAAAATTGTCATGTGACAAACTAATTATAAATTTAGTTTCACAAATGTCGAGGAAAATAAAAGATCATAAATGGAAACCCAAAGTAATTTTGAAGATATTATTCATGTATAGTACTATATGTGATCGCAGAGATGGTGTCCGTTTGTTATTTTCAGTGGCGGTTTAGGTTGTTGTATACATACTGAGGCAATATTTATTCCTTCTAATAAGGGGATTTATATGCAGAAGCCAACTAAAAGATCTTTAATAACCTTGATGTATGTGATTTGTTTAACACAATGTTATCGAGTTATTTAATATTTTGATTTTTCAACCAATAAATTTTGATCATAACTAAAATTTAATAGACTTTATAAATTATTAAAAAAGAATGTTATACATACTTTAGGAAATTTGTTTCTCTTTGGTGTCATTAATCGAAAATCAGTTTTTCTAACTCTATCCGGATTTAAAATAATTTTAACCATTTATTTGACTTATTATTATTGTATTTACAAAATTTACGTTCTAGAAAAGGAAAAATAATTCCACTCATTCCATATTAATAATCTAATCATATTAATTATGTTTATCCGCTTGGATTTATATTAATTTTCAATAAAATTTGTGTGGATTAAGCTTAAATTGTACTCAGTATTATATCTTTAACACTTAATTTATCTCTTAATAAAGATATTTTCATTTAAGATCTGATTTACGCAGATTTCAAAGAACAGTTTATATCAGCATAACATAACATAACATAATATATTTGTATATTTCAAGGTGTGCCTAGTCTAGGTTTATTTCCTCTTGATCCACTCTTTATCCCAAGTATTGACATAAAACAAGGCGGTAATAGAATTGTAAGCGTAGATATGAAATTTAGAGATGTTAATATCACCAATCTCCTATCGACTGTACTTAGAGATGTCCAGTAAGTAATATACTAAATAAATTTTTTTTTCAACAATTCTCTAAATTATATTATTTTTACAGTGTGGATGTTAATAATAACAATGTTTCAATGAAATTTATGATGACAAAAACAATTGTAATGGAAAGTTATTATGATTTAATAGGAAAAGTTTTTGGATCGCCTATTTCTGGAAAAGGAACGTGCAGATTTGACTTTGGTTATAAATATATATTTTTTTATTTAAAAATTACAATGAAAAAAAAACCGAACGATTTTTTAGTACTATAAAAATTAATATTAATATAATAAAGTTTTAATTTTCAGAAAAAATTAAAAGCTCTGTAAAAATTCAATTTCAAAGAACTGTAAAAAATAATAGACATTATCTAGTCCCTCAAAATGTAAATTATGTTTTTACTACATCAAGAATATACATTAATTTTGACAATCTGTTTAATGGAGACAAGAATCTAGGTAAGATAAATAAAATAAGGGAACAAAACAATTTATAGTATTCGGTTGAATATTTTCAAATATTCAGTAAAAAAAAATTTATGAATACAAAATTTTGTATTACTCAAAGGTATTGGTGAAATATGTACTTGACATAGTTGGTTTGTTCTGTCAGTTAAAAATATATATATTTGATATTACCAAAATGTAAAATCAAGATTTAACTTGATATTTTTTTAAATCGTATTTATGAATTTATTATATATATAATATGCTTTTATTATTTAAAAAAAAAAATTCTAGTTAAGGGTAATTAAGTTTTAATAGCACTAAAACATTTCAAAATGGAGTACACTTTTTTGTTAAAATGACTTAAAATCAGCCTATAATATTTATTCAAAATATAATAAAAAGATTTATAAGGATGTAAATGGAATATTTTAATGATATAAAGGGGCTAATAGTTGTAGAGCACGAGTGAATTACTACATATTATTAATTGTTATATTTTATCGGTTCGAGATTCAAAAATAATAAGGTTATTAATATAAATTAAAGCATACAATTTTTTGTTGATGTGTTGAATTGTAAAAATGAATTACTGTTATATTAATGATTTTGACTATTCATTTAACCATATTATTTAAAAACGATTAATATACTTCTAGCCATTAAAATGTATTTAAAAGGATTAATAAAAATTTTTCACCTTCTATTGTTTTTATTAAAGCTCTTAAAAATAAATAACAGTTGGGTGTAAATTATTTGAACGACGAAATGAGATTTGCAAATATCACTGGACACCCAACAATCCAGTTACACGTTCACCAACTTTCATAACTTCTTGGGCTTGGAAAGATATTTGATCTTTGATAGCACATAGGACTTCGATTAAATTTTCTCGCGAAACAGCTTAACAAAAACCCATTATTGTTAAAAAAATATAATAATAATTATCTATAATATTATCGAAGATAGGTAGACGACTTACCTAAATTAGATGGTAACATTCATGCCTTAGTGGATAGGTACCAGGTTCGAATCTATTGTGCTAGGCTATTTATGTTTTCCCGTCCTCTTTGTCAAAAACAATGATTTTTATAGAGGACATTAAACATGAATCTTATATTATACAGAGTATTCAGTAAGTAAGGAAGCAGATAAATTATTACAAACAATGAGAACAATAGAAACCCGTGTCCTTACTTACTGAACACTTTATAAAAGAACAAGGAAATAAACGCTTTTTTGGAAAAACTACGTAGCGTTCTTTGATTTACAATTTTTTTTTTTTTAACGAAAGTATTTAGTCATGAGTCTACGGGGAAATTATTGACGAAGGCCGGAAAATTTTTGCCGCTCGCCCGCGAGCGTTTTAAAATTTCAACCGTTTTTGAGAAAAACGTTCGCTGATGGCAGCGTTTTACGACTTCAGGTTTGAAATTTTCACTAGTTCCGTCCAAAAAATTGTTTGAGATACTATAAAAAATTTAATTCAATCTGTTCATTTTTTACCATTCTACGAGCTTTTTTTTTTAAATCCACGCGTATGTTTTGAATGAGGTTATCGTCTTATAAATGTGCATATTTATATTTTGACTCTGACTTTGTAAAAAAAATGAGTTTATATTAAAAAAATGTTTATTTCATTTTTCTCTATCATTCATATTTAATACATGTTATATTTGTCATATATGAATTAATCGGCTAGATTATTAACTATATTTTTGTTTTGATATTATTTTAATTATTTTTATATATTACATAGTTTATTAAGTAACAGATATTTCCTGGGAATTTTTTTTAATTATGTTATAATAAACAATTTGTTGATATATTTAATTAAGTTTATTGTTATAAATATATATATATCATTTCTTTAAACTTTGGCTTTATAATTATCTTACTGGTCAAATGTACTTTTTTTGCTTTGAAACAAATTTTTTTTGTCTTATTTATCTCATTGATGATTTATAAGTCTATGAGTTTATTGCAAAAATTGAGATTCATCTATGACAACTATGATGACTAACGTCAAATCACAGTAATATTTTTATCCAAATTGACTTTTTTACATAGACCTAGAAATACTAATATTAATACAATTATTGTAACTAGAATATTATTAAATATTGTGAATATCAAGGATATTTTTAAGGAGGATATAGGCGATTAGACCTCTTGAACCAATGCTATCAATATTAGCTTCGATGTGAAGCTGAGAAGGTATTAGTTTTATTTTTGTGTCTGTTATCACTTTTTCTCAGCTCTCACCGAACCGATATCTTTCAATGAAACGTCAAAAGATCGCAAATCGTATCTAGTTGGAGACATTACCCTTAAAAATTGAAAAAATTCCCTCGTTCCCTCAAATGGGGGAAATATGCAAAAAAATTACAAATTTAAAAATCGCTAATTTTCGAAATTTTTTCAATTTTAGCTTCGATGCGAAGCTGAGAAGGTATTATTTTTACTAAGATGTGTTTTTTTTTTTTTTTGTCTGTTACCACTTTTTCTCAGCTCTCACCGAACGGATTTCTTTCAACGATACGTCAAAAGATCACAAATCGTATCTAGTCGAAGACATTACCCTTAAAAATTGAAAAAAATTCCCTCGTTCCCCGTAAATGGGGGAAACCTCCAAAAAAATTACAAATTTAAAAATCGCTAATTTTCGAAATTTTTTCAATTTTTTTTACTAAAAACTGCCGTAACTTTTTCAAAAATGAACATATCAATATAATTTTTTTTTATATAGATGCTTGATGTCTTTACCTATCATTTGGTATATTTTTTTTGTAAATCTGACACTTAACCTGCCCACAGGGGGGGATTTAAAATGACAACTTTTTCACAAAAAATTAACTTTTTCAACTTAACTTTTGAAAATGTTCCGGAAGGTCTGACACTTTTATATATATCTTAAATTAAAACTAATGTAGTATACTTTATAATGGTAAAAAAAAATTTCGGACTATATTTTATCTTCATGGTGAAAACAGACATTAAACTTAATAAAAAAAATACGATTTTTGTAAAAAAATTCTTTTTTATATTTTTAACTTTATAATGCTATAACTTATTGAAAAGTGTATTAATCAATATAATTTTTTTATGGGAAATTCTATTTTTTAATAATCCCTTTTTCATTCGACATACTTTATCCTAATCAGGATATTAATAAGGAACTAGCAGTTTATGAAGCTTTTGGAATAATCTACCAATATTTTAAATTAAACACTATCTAAAGATTTGCATCGAAGCGTTTTTTATGATAGTGATTTTAATCACTGTCAGATATCATTAAACTTGATCCAACTATGCCACATCACCACTGTGCCGCGACTCCCCTGTGCTGGTTTTTTTTTACTAAAAACTGCCATAACTTTTTCAAAAATGACCAAATCAATATAAATATTTTTTTTGTAAATCTGACACTTAACCTTCTCACGGGGGGGGGATTTAAAATGACAAACTTTTTCACAAAAAAATATAATTTATTAACTTAACTTTTGAAAGTGTTCTGGAAAATCTGACAATTTTATATATACCTTAAATTAAAGCTAATGTAATATAATTTATCATGAAAAAAAAAATTTCGGACTTTAGATAATCTTCACTGTGAAAACAGTAGTCAAATTTAATAAAAAAAAACGAAAATTCTCGATTTTATATTTTACATTTTTAACTTTAAAATGTTATACCTTGTTGAAAAATGTATGGATCAATACAATTTTTTTATGAGAAATAATATTTATATACATCTTTCATTCGACAAATTATTTTTTAAATCAAACTATTTCCTTATATACAGAGGGGGTTCAAATCTGTAAAATGCATATAGAAAGTAGAACTTTTTTAACTTAAATTTTGAAAATGTTCCGGAAACACTAACACTTTTATATATATCTTAAATTAAAACTTATGTAATATACTTTAATATTAAAAAAAAAATTTCGAACTTTATTTTATCTACATGATGAAAATAGCTAAAATATACTATTTTTGTGTTAAAATTCTTGATTTTGTATTTTATTTTATTATAAGGGGATTACACTGAATTTTATAAATATTATATCAATCTAGTTGACATAGTATAAAAAATTAAACGTATTTAAATTTTTTTGTTTCTTTGAAGTCGAGAAAAATAACTTTAAAATTTGAACTAGCTAAATTTCCATTTTTATTAAGTGACCAATGCGATGTACGGTTTCTGAGGCGGTAACATTTGGGTCTTTCACGNCAATGCGACGTACGGTTTCTGAGGCGGTAACATTTGGGTCTTTCACGCCTGTGGCACTGAATTAATAAAAAGAATTAATTCTTAATTCTTTTTGAGTTACAAAAAAATGTTTAACTCATTTGATTTTTATCTCAATTAGATTCAATAACTTCATTAAATATCATGGATCCCATTACTGTAGTCTCCTCTCGTGAGAAGAAATTCATATTAATATTATTTTACTATTTTTTTTTGTAGCTATAATTTATTTTCTCAGCGTTCACTTGACCTACTTTTTTGACAAATTTTTTTTTTTTAATTAAACACTATCTAAAGATTTACATTGAAACGTTTTTTATGATAGTGATTTTAATCACTGTCAGATATCATTATACTTGATTCAATTATGCCACCTCACTACTGTGCCGCGACCCCCTGTGCTAGGTTTTTTTTGTAATGTCCACGTGCATAGTTTTTAGTAGGATATTATTTTGGTATTGCACATGTCAATTTTTTTTTAATTTTATGTATATATAAAATGGTACTAATAACACGGTATTTAAAGATACCTTAGGAGTAAACCTAAATATTTTAGTCATATTATTGATTAATTTTTTTTATTATTTCTTGTATCTAATATAAATTATTGAATAGGAACTATAAAAAAATAAGTTTATTATTATTTTCATTAAAAACTTGTTTTATTTTCTTCTTCTATTTTTCTTTCGGAACAAATTTTTTATTATTTTAGTATGACTTACAACAAATTTTTTTCTTTGTGGTAGGACATTTTCCTACAGCTTTTACATTAAATGTTAATAATAATTTGTATTGATGTATTAGATTCTAATACAAATTTAAATGTATGGTATTTTATTTGAAATTCTATATTACATTATTCATTTCAATCTATTACCTCATCCTATTATTATAACTTCATAACACAATTTTATTAATATTGATAAAACCAATGATAGAGTCAAGATTAAAATATTGTGATGAACTTAGTAATAAAATGTAAACTTTATACTTTATACACTTCACTAATTACTATTTTTCAATTTTACTCATTTTATTAATTAAATGTCTACTATATTTGTATTAAACTGCTTCTGGATAATATTTTTCCAGCACAACACTTATCATGCCCAGCTTACCCGGGTACTCCTAGTGGAATCAGTGGCTTACCTGTAAAAGTAGCCCGAAGGGCCTAACGCATCACAAGTGCATAAGACCCGCAGGCCACCGGGCTGGGGTGGAGCCCCAACTCGGCTAAGCCTAATCATTAAATAAAGAAATAAAAATATTAGTTAACTATTTCAAGTATTTTTTTTCAGAAAATACTATGAATGTATTTTTAAATGAAAACTGGCGAGAACTATCATCAGATATCCAATCTGTAATGGAAGAGGCAATCAACTCAATTATATACGGTTATATAAGTAGATTTTTCGGTGAAGTACCTATGGATGAAATTTTTGTTAATCACTTATAAGATTGTAAATGTGAAATGTTTTGTTAAAATTTTTCATACTTATATCATTTATTATGTTGTAATTTTTTAATAAAATATTGAAAATAGATTAAAATTCAACTAAAAATAAAATGTTTTAATTGTAACGATCCAAAAATAAAAAACGCTTTTGTTTGATATTGGGGAAAAAACGGGAGATATTTTGTTATAGAATAGGGGGGGGGGGGGG